GCACCAAGTTGCGAGATGCAGGACTTACATTCTGAACATCATTCTTTATGGCTTGAAGATGGCAGTATTTAAAAAAATGAAAACAAGAAACTGGATGAAAGAAATGAAGATTTGAACATGGATAGTAGCAGTGAAGTGTTTCGACTTGATGTCAGATGGTGTTGTATGAGAGAAATTAGCATGTCCAACTAAAGTGACCGATTGGTTGCAAACAAGGATTTTAAAATGGTGAGGTTTTTATCAGGGGGTGGAAGATAGCTACGTTGCTGAGCTAATATTGCACGCATGCCTGATGGCATGGCCCCCCTCGAAGATCTAAAGCAAAATATGAAGATCTCTTTAGAAATGACAAACTCTAAGGACTCAAAAGTGAGTATGCATTTATACGATCAGGTGGATAGCTTCCACAACATCCTTCGTCGTCAATTGCCTAAGAGGAACGAGAATTTCGGTGAAGTTACTATCATAATATCAATGTGAATTGCAGCTTTGAATTGTCCCCCTATGCCCCAGTTTTTGATTACATTCAACAAATGATTTTTTCCACGTTTTTACTTCTTCATTTTACTGAAAATGCGTATTCGTTTTGTTTTATAATTGTATTGTTTAAACGACTTTAATATTTTAGACTTGATCATCCTGAAAATTTTGGTGCTCGAAACGATTTGCCCAAACGATAATGTGGTGTATCTTTTACTGTTCATCAGTGACTGTTTTTTCGGCGAATGCCCAGCTTTAGTTGTATTTTGCCAGTGCAGTAGGTAAAGTTAAATTCATGCCAAAATGAATGCCTTTCAGGGAAAAAACGAGATCCTGATGTTAAATTGTTTTATATCTTTTGAGCAATAAAGTTGTGTATGTTGCTGAAACATCCGCAGATCTTGTATCGTTGCTTTGTTTAATAAATTTTGAGAAAAAGCCTATATGAATACTAGTTTGCCATTGCTGCTGTAGAACATGTTTAAATACTTTTGATAAACCATAGTACCGTGAATTGTTGATTTTTGTATATTGTTTGCCAATTTTTGATCCATATTCTCGTTGCCTAAA